TTTATTTATTTATCTCCCCTCTCTTAATAATGGGGCCGTGGAGGGGGGGGGGCGGGGGGGGGTCTCCTCTCCTCCGCGCCATCCCGACTTCGGCCGGGGAAGGCTGAGGGAGATGCCGCCGGTGCCTCCCGCCGCCGGGCAGCCCTGGGCCTGGCCGTCGCCGGGCTCTACCGGAAAACCGGGCGTCGGGAGCTGGTGCCATCCCGGTGTGACAGGAGCTGCCGCGCCGCCCCTGTCAGCTCCCGGCTCCGCGTGTTTCACCGGCGGGGGGGGGGGGGACCTCCTTCCCTCCCAGCTGCGGGGCCGGGGAGAGAGGGATGCAGCCCTCCCTGCGTGGTTTATTCGCTGTGTTGTTGTTTGAGTCCGTTTCTAGATTCCTCCCGGCGAATTTAAAGAGGAACTAGCGAAGGGATAAACATAAACAAGGCGAAGGCTGAATACTCGCAGCTGCAGGGCTCCGAGGCGAGCTACACCCTGGCAGATACCTTGCTCCAGAACTGATAGCCAAGTCCAAGGACAAAGAGGGACAGTAATTTTCAACAGTAAATGGTTTGCAGGGAGGATAGTTGCTTGGGTTTATTTTTTTTTATTTTTTCTAATTGTTGTTTTATTGTGCATTCATGTGATGCGGTGCAGGCAGTTCAAGCAGTTCACCTGTTTGATGTTTGAAGCGTTGATAAAATCCATCAGCTCAAACCGATACATGGCTGCCCTTTTTATTTCTGTTTACATCTGGGAAGCACGAAATGATTGATGAGGGAAAGCTGGGAGGAAATGGGGAGCGTTAATTGAAGGAGAAAGAAATGAAAGTGAAATGAGATTTTTATTAAATATTTTTTTAATTCTTTCTTTTTTTTTATGGTGGTGGAGCCTCTGAGGGATGCCATGTCAGATAGGAAATGGAGCAACATACTGTCAAGCAGAAGAAACAAATATGTGATTCAAACTCACTTTTGCTACAGATTTTAAACGTAACAGCCTTGAAGAATTTCACTTCTAGTGAAAGTATAGAGAGTCTTTAAAAGCATTGGTGTGTGTATTTTTAGAGGAGTCATAAATGTAGCTTGGTAATGGTGTGAAGTTGAATATAACAGGAAGTGTTTGAAATGCGCTTTTTGGTGGAAAATACATTCATTTGATCAGGGTGCATATTCCAGTAAAAAAACCTAAATGTTTTGAATTTTAAAGTTAAATTTAAACTCATACAGTGCTTCAAAATCTAGTTGGTCTGGATGTTTCATAATTAAAAGTATGCTTGACATAAAAATAAGAGAATTTTTTAAAGTTACTTAAATTTTTTTCTCGCGCAGTAAATGTAGTATTTTTCTTTGATGTTATTCTATCTGTATGAGGTATTTAATACTGTTGTTCTGTAGGGGAACAGAAAGGTTGTTTTAGGCTCTCTAATATAAATCGATGTTTTGCTAAATAACTATGTCGTTTACTTAACCAGTGAATCATTGTATGTATAAAACAGGCTAGTTATCAAAACATCATTTGTTAGGCCATTCTTACTTGCACAGAACCATGCTGGTGTGTGTGGCATTTCTGGGGACACAAATGGTGATAATGGATAAACATAAACATTAAAAAAAGAAGGCCAGACATATTTATGTCCAATTAGATCTGCCTTCTCTAACATTGTGTCCTGGTCATTAAATGCTGCGAAAGTTTTATATTAGGTGAATATTGTAAGAATTCTTCATATGTAATCTGTAGTGGTTAACTGTACTTGTAGAAGTACTAATCATTCCTAATGTTGTGCTCGTATTTTTGAGAGGCTAGTTTTCATTTCAGTTGTTCAGAATATCTGGAAAAATGCAGCGAGTGCTGCTGGTTCTGTCAGCGTCAGAAAATAAGGCCGACTTTTAGGTTGTGAATGGCTGCGTTTTTCTTTATTGCAATTCCATTTTGGGAGGAACCAAAGGTTGTGAAGGTGAGGAGAGTTTTTGTGGTTAAACACTCACAATATAAATAACTGTAGCTAAAGTATAACTTCTGTTCAAGGAGATGAAAATGTGAGAGCGGCCTAGTGTTAATGGGCCTTTTTCACCCTGGAGCATGAGAGAGTACTGCAATTTTAAATGTATTTTTTTCTGCTGGTTGGCACAGACCACTGACTGTGCTGTGGGTGGTGTGGCCGTGCGGATGGGCAAGATGAAGTTGTCTTGTGTCCACCAGTGCAGGTCACTCTGAGTCTTGTTAGTCTTCCTTTTTCCCCTCACACCCTGTAAAAATCTGTGTCTGGTTGCTTAGTTTGGGAGTGAAAAGTAAGAATGCTATTTTTAACATCTCTTCTCTTACAATGAATATTGCCAAATTATGGTCATCTTATTTATGGTCACCAGAAGCACTGCTTTGCCTGTTGCAGTGGAAAAGGTATTGGTTCTGAACTTGTGGTGAGAGCTCTTCTTGATGCTGTAGGCCTCCTCCTGAGGACAACTTCTCTGTAAGGAGGTGAAGTTCATGGACAGGTCTTTACAGGTGAAGTAAAATAGGTGCTTCCTTCCAAATTGGGCATGACATGATTGGTTATTTTATTAAACTAAGTTTGTGATGATGTAAACTGGTAATGTGGCTCTAGAATTTGTTGCTTTTTTTCTTAGCCTTGGGCTCCAACAGCAACGTTCTTCCTTGGGCAGTGCCACGAGTCAGGCAGGCTTCCCTAGCTCAGGCACTATCCCTTTTTGGTTTGAGATTTCCCTTTTCCATTGTGTGTCTGTGATTCCTGACTCCTCTGCTCCCATTCTGTTCACCAGGCTGGCTGGCTGCTCCCTCCTTCTGAGAACTGCCCAGCGTTGGGCCTTGCCTCATGCCAAGGAGGTAGTGCTAGAAAGCCTACCTTATCTTTAACTTGTTCTTCTGGCAGCCTTGTCACCTGATTCCTTAAAGGGCTGTCTTCGGGCCAATAAAACTTTATAAAAGGAAGAACTTTCTGTTACTATTGTGTCAGCTCCAGCACAGCAGCTCCTGCGCTATGCTGTGTTGTGTATAGAATATTTTAATGAGGATTCCCCAGGAAAGAGATGGCTGCGTGGTATTGATGGCCAGTTTGTTTCAGATCCCTAAGGCCTGTGTTTTCCAGTGACTGTTAATGTATTCTGATTAAGTAATTTTCAGAATATAATCGCAGACTGGGTGTAAATTTACGAAGGTGCTTGGAATTGGTGAGATAATACAATCTGTAGTCAAAGTTTCTGTGAATGCTGCTCTGAGCAGGTCATGCTAACTCAGGCCATTTTCAGCCTATGTATGCTAAATATCGAGTCATATCCATAATCATGGATCTGTCAAATTTGTGCCAGAGAGGAAGGCAAGGCTTTTCTTTCTGCTTAAAGCAGGGTACGATTTCTGTTGCATGTATGCCGGGATGGAAGAAGGGGGAACTGCCCCAATATCAGTGATTATGTGCTTTGAAGAAATGGGTGGCTTCTGATAGACCTGTCTCATTGTATTTTGTTTTGTGCACAATGATCTCTGAGAAACAGAGCAAAAAGAAAGGACAAAACCAGTACCGTCTTTCAAAAATGTGCATGCAGGTAAAACGGCAGCTGTTATTGAGGCAAAACTTGCAGATGTATCAATCTTACAGGATTTGCCTCTGGAGAGGTCATGAA